CTACTGACTCTGTTGAACGTATCACTCTTCATTCATTCCACTGGCACCTCCTTGTTCTTCCATCCGCTCTTGATAGCTGCCTTGACAATCTACTCGATCTCGCCTTTATTAAGTGGCACTCTTATTGTCGGGTCCTGTCACGGAGGCAACGGAATCACCACGGTCTGTCCACAACACGACACCAGCACCAGCACCAACACCTGCATCACCGATCTGGCCGTTTCGTTTACCGGTGAAACAGATGATTTCCGGCACCCACAGATAGTGTTCAAAGGTCAAACGATTCGTTTGTTACCCTCCACGTGATGCATCCGTTTACCATGATGGCATGATAAAGGACGCATGCCACGTATACGTGTTCTCGGTGTTAGGTGAGAACATCGGAATCCGTCACACTTATATGACTCCGGAGGTCAAAATTTTAACACCTGCTACCAGGACACCTGACGCCGCCAAATAACTAGACTTGTTCTCTAAAGTTATTTTATTGTTAATTTTTGACGGTCTAGCCTTTATTTCTTGATGAATTTTTCCATATTTATTTTGGCTATATTCTACCGAATAAAATGTTTTCATCACTGCTACCACCTCCTTGTTCGTGACTATAGCCTCTTAGTCCTTCCGCATTTCCGGTGTGACTTGAATAAATACCCTAGCAGCACTGGTAAAGCCAACTTTATTGCGATCCTATCGAAAAAACAAAGACGCGGAGGTGTGCTGCAGAAGATTTGAAACAATTCGACTTTTAACAGCTCTCCCTGTCTCCAGAACCTGCACAATTCCTATCAGTGGAATAAGATGGGGCTTCATCGGTTTGAAAGGCACCCACAAAAGTCCATTTGACCTTCCTAAGTGCAATGGTTGGCATTATAGCAAATGTTATTACTGGAAGCGATTGCCTTACGATGTAGAGCATCATCAAGTCACTCATATTACTTACCCGACGAGATAATTCGTCTCGTAAAGGACTCACAATTCAAACTCAGGCCTACGACGATGTTTACACTAAGGCGATAGGTCATCCTGAGGTCGCGCGAGTTATCAACAAACCCTACATGATTTCCTTCAGTGGTGTGCTTTCTTCATTACTTTACAGACCATTTGGAAGTCAAATGACCGCACAATGGAGAATCGTCAGGGCAGTTACTTTAAGACGTAGTGGAGGTCGGTAATTTCTGCTTCCACCGAGGACTAGCTCAAGACGGCGCCGCCATTGCACGATGACCTTCAGAGGACCCTGCAGCCTACAGGGCAGTCCCACCATGTGTTCCCTTGAGGAGTGGGCTTACCACACTCGCCTCTTTTGTCTCAGCATCTCATGTTTTCCTTATCGACTGTTGACTCCATAAAATGGCTTTCATTCCTACACCACTGAATGGGCATGCTTTTGCTCATTCCATCGGTCCCTTTTCTCGTTACACCTTCAGAGAAGGCTTGGATTCAAGTCATAAATCTTAGGGTAATCGGCATTGAAGGTGGCCAAGCTTCAGTTCGCTGTTCTTCAAATTGGATGTGTTGGGTGGACAAAAAGAGGACCACTGAAAATACATCCTGTCTTGTAGATTTTTTTGTCTACAAAGGTGGCCGATGAAGAGATAGCTATCCGCCAAGATTTGATGACCCTACTGTTAAGGAGAAAGATACTGATATCGCTCATCTCCGACCGGAACATTCACTGAGGCATGCAAACAGATGGACTGTTGCTGAAGTAATACAACATCTAGTCTTATGCGGGCGGTAGGCGCGTTCGACCACTCATGGAAAGGGTGCGTCACATGGACCCACCTTCCAAGCGCCATTAATCAGCACTAGCAATGATTGCGTCCATGGAACATGTGAAGCTAAGACAAATTTCTAGTTACCGGAGGCTCTAAACTCAAAATCAAGGATATGTACAGAAGACTTGTAGGTAGCCAGCCCCATCAAGATATTTATGCGGTGTAAAGTCATCGAAGTTGAACTGTTCGCCTAAGCTCCAGACGTGGCAGTCTCTCCCACTACAGTGCAGCAGATGCTTCCGTGAGCATCCACTCAGCATGTGGAACGCTTACCTGATCCTAGACATCTAGTCAACACATTTTACAATAAAATTACAAAGGAAATTGGTCTTCCTAGAGGGGCAGTGGTACTACACAAATACGTAAGTCTACAAGGGTAACAAGGCAGTCTTCTAATTTTGATACCTCGAAAGAGTTGAGCGTCCCTCTCACTGCTTTTGAGAAATAATTGCCTTAACATGGCCAAAACAGGATCAAAACGAGCGGACGAGACCAATTCGCCATCAATGGCGAAACGAAGTAGACTGCCTTGTTATGATTCAGGCGTACTGTTAACAAGACGTAAAGATGAATGTATCTGCGTAAAAGGAATTCTATTAATCCTAAGCACATACAAAAGAATTGAAAAGTGGTTACTGGTTGGATGGAATTTGGAGTCTTGGTTTCATTCGAACATGCATGAAACGCTAACCCGACAAAACATTAGTATTTTTCCCTGCTGCTGTTATTCCTTCATCCCTCCTCTGATATGGTAAAGGACTAAAAGGTTGGACATTTGAGGAATTTGATTTTGTCTTTAGCAATTTGAACTTGCTACCTACTTATAACTCAAATTCTCATTTAAGTAGGTTGCCAGTCATGCGAATGTTTTAAGTAACGGATTAGACCTTGAACCAGCCCAGTTCTTTTGAGGTCTCCCACATAACACAAGACTCCTCTGAAGCACTACGACTACCTGTCGAACTCAGGTGACAACGATCCTAAGTCGGATGGTACTTGCCCTCTTTCAAATGTCACACCAGTGTCCTTACCCCTTCCCTCATCCCCTCTTTGTCAAATAGGTATATTTAGAGTTCTTTGTGAGACAGCGCCTATGACAAGTTTAAAAGACTTCATACAATCGCCTTATTAATTGAGAATATCTCATCCTCCTTTTAACTCCAGAATAAAAGTGAAGCCAAGCTCGACGTCACAAATACGTGACACGGGTGCCTTACGAGTTTATAACAAACAATTGTACCTAATTCTGTTGAAAATATATTAAGTGGTGTAGACCATTATTGACACTGTGGTTGGTGTGGAGAAAGTCGAGTGTTCCCCAAGATCTCCTGGTAGGGGATGAAATTTCCCACTGGGAGAGTGTTTGTCTCCTGAAGTAAGTCAGTACATCTGAGCATCATCCACGGGACTCGCAGTGAACGAGTGACTGTTTCGATGATTGTTAAGCGCTACAGATCAAAAAAGCTACCGAATTCTTTCAGCACGGCTCTGATCACCTAGCCTGGAAGTGAATGATCATGTCGGCTTTCTAGGTGGCCTAATTTGAACTCGCCTTGTGAAGGGAGCTATTATTTGAAGCCTTGTCCTCCGAGAGCTACCAACAGGTAGGTGGACGATGTCAATGGCCTACTCGCTGGCGTTAGTGGTTAGAACATCTACTGAAAAAGCGCATGTCCTATACTCCAGGATTTGTTTAAACGGTTAGACCTAAAACAACTACCTTAAACATACTTTGCTCTTGAAGACAATTACTGCTTTACTCGTGTCATGAATTTGTCCCCATTGGATTGAGCCTGATGCTGCTTTTTTTACTAGGAGGTAGGAAACACCTTCAAACGAGAAAAGAAGCCGTCAACACCAAAATTAATAAATGACCATCCATTCGTCTATCCATCCATCCATCCAACCTCCCTTTCATCCACCCACCTATTCTACTTAATCAGCCTTTCACGTTATCCATCCAGTCCTCCATCAAATCTACGATTTATGTACTAATCCATCCATCCGTCTTATTGTTCATTTATCCACCCATTAATTTACAAAGATCAGTTACTCACCCCTCCATACTTGACCCGGTCATTTCTAATTTCCCCTGTCTAATACCTATTCAGTTCTAGGCCATTGTTCCATCCACTCTTGTTCCGTTTATTCATCCATCTGCCCATTAATACGGAATTAATCTTCCCACCTCCTTTCCGTCGGTCACTCTCGGCTGATACTGACCGCCATCCATCCACATTTCTAGACCGGATGATATTAGAAATCTGAGGATTTCCTCGTCACCACCACCATCACCACCCATTTCCGATTTGACGGGGAAGGCAGTATTGTTGCATTACCATTCCAGTCAGGATGTATGCATAACACGGAGACGTGTGAACCTCCGGCCATCATCCGTCCATTTTCTATGCCATGCGACCGCCTTTGTTATTAGCTGAAGTGACTCACGACCAAACATCCCCTCCCCTTGCTTGTCAAGAGAGCCCGACTTGTTTGTTCAGCCAAGATCCACAGAAGTCAAGCCCCGGGAATGCAGAAATTGGTAAAATTTTTGATTAGAAATTTTATGTGATGACGCAATATTCCCTGGAAGAGGAAGGAATTATATTGACTCAACTTATCATTGGTCGGGACAATCTCCAGAGTGTCCTTCAGCCCCATTTTAGTTTAAAAAAGGGAATGAAACGTGAAAAAACCTCTGCTAAGAGTTTGTCTACTGTATATACATAAAAACTAATGAGATCTGAAATCTGACTTGTATTTCTTCATCAGATGTTAGAATCCACTTAACCTTTTCAGTAGTGTATTTAATACATCTTTCACTTAGTATAAATTCAGCAAAAGTGCGAGAGGAATCCTCGACCCGACCTTGACACGTCATTGACGAGTAAGATGCCCCACGGGTTGTGGCTAGAACCCACAATTGACATTAGCAAATTTAATTGTCCCCTCAAGGTCGGAGTGGTCCCCTAGAAGCAAGGCCAAAGTAAATTGCAAACAGCCACTAGCAAAAATACTTTTGGAAGAAAAGAAGGTTCTAGAGGATTTTGTATTTCGGATTCCCATCTAGCCAAATTGTTTGTCGGATAAAAGGGGACTTCCACATTTAGAGCGCCCAGCCCATATTTAGGTTACCATGGAAATGCTCGAGGGAAAAAAAAAGTAAACTTCATGGTTTGACAGTACCACTGCGAAATGGCAAACCACCTATTACGCACGACATTTGATTGACGTCTCCCACTTTAAATTGACTTTTCTGAAAGTCCTAGTGAATCGAGGACTTGTGTGTGGAAATTGACCAATCCAGTGACAGCGTCTTATTCCCTCGCCGCCCAGGCAAAGCGAACACAATGACACAGCATTTTCTCATTGGTGGGAAAATCCAGGCTGGTGTGTACACGCACGCCCGCTCTGACTCACCCAATGACAGTCATGAGGATGAAGCGCGCCAATACAAATTTCGCCATCTGCTTAGCTGCTGCGAAACCGCCAACCTAATGAGGCTTCCTTTAGTCATGAAGTCACTGTCGAATAAACTTTTGATTTCTAGCGCATTATTTTTTAAGTAAATGGAGCAGCGAGTGGCATAAATTAAAGGCTGCGAATTCCCGTTCCCAATAGTATCGAATTTTGCGCCTCTCTTGCAAAGGACTCGTTTATTTGCACATTCTTAAGTGACCGAAAGTTGGATGACCTCCTCTCCAAGTTAGCGATGGAGGAATGTGTTTACCTAGTCTAAGTGTTTAATTTGCTCACCGGCAATGATTCATCAAGAAAATTGACATTCTAAAATTGGAAAAAGGGACATACCTAGTATCGCTCAATCTTAAGTAGTGGCGGCGGGGTGTACTAAGTTTTTGGGTCGCTTCCAACAAAACCTTCCACGCAAACAACGGAAGTGGCGCTTAACACATGGACCATTACCCTTCGGCAGTGATTGGCCAAGGTTGCCTGGCGATTCTGCGATCGAGCCGTGGAATTCTCTAGTCGAGTTCCACCCGATCGTCCTTATCTCGCTACATTGGGACTTAGAATTTCATTCATCCTCTGATGGCTTTGTGATTTCACCTTGACTTTATGATGTCTGGACGTCTAACGAGGCACTTTTGAGCTATTGCTTGATTTTTAGGGTCAATACTTGAGGGGCTTGGCGTCTTCGAAGCGTTGGCACTCTCGGTGGTATCGGCATTCGCTTCCTTTTTCACCTCATCACTGCTCTGGAAACAAATGATATTGAATGAGCTTTGCAGCTAAGTAGCCGCATGAAATATTTGTTTTGTGAACGAAAAGTGTTGGCTACATGAATCAAGTGCGTCAAAAAAAACGGTCTTGGCTTCCAAAGTACACAAAGGAAGTAACAACCCACCATATGCCTCGATGTGATTGGCTGAATCCCGATCAAGTTACTCATCAGGGTGCTGTAGAGTAAACAATCCAAAAAACTGAAAAAATGGAATGCGTTTACGCCATCAAGAGGGGGCGGGGGGGGGGGACGGAGTACAGTAGACTGAAAAGCTTCGCTCGGCAACAGCACAAATGTCATTCGGCCACATTGACCAGACAGCCTTGTTTGTGGATATTACAGGGTGTAGCAGTGCCAGACGTAACCTGATAATTTACTGTCCTCTTCGTTCTACACAATTCTATTTTGTACGGCTAGTCGACTCCCACATCCCGCTAATTCATGTCCGTTTATCCACCGAAAAAAAAGGGCAACCTACGCATATTTTATAATATTTACTCCTGCGAAATGGCCTGCTCAGCGAGTCAATGTAACTGACTGATGGCGACTACACATTTTGTATGAATTACGCCAGAATGAGTTGGCGAAACGTAGATGTCACATATATGTGACACCGGAAGTGAACGATTTCCGTGCACACTTGTGCCTAAAAAGGCAATATAATTGCAAGATTTTGAAAACTTGCGACGAAACATTTTTGAGGGTGAAAAAGTCTTTACATATTAGAGTAAAATTTGTTTTGTCGGGTCGTGAAACATGGGTTAGCCCTTTACGAAATTCACCGTGGCATCAAAAGCAGACAGCACCAAACGCAATCATGGCTGATCTGATACCCAGGAGGACAAATACCAAAGCACAGGCAAGCTGATGCATCACAGCAATGCGATTTCTTGCTACAAAACTGGAGGTGACAGCTGACCAGGCAAAATGAGCCTCTTTTCGCGTGAATCGGTGGTGTGGCAATGCTTCATCCTTGTCCGATGGTTAATTTAAAAAAGTGCTTACGTTTAATTGTGTCGACCACTTCACCTCTTCACCAAATCAATTTCTGTGTCATTTACTAATTTTGCATTCAATCCACACCAACTTCGATACTCCGCCTTGTGCATCGGCAAATCAGGCGCCGATTTTCCGCCTCCTCACGCTCTGATTGGTCGGTTTGTCTATTTAACCTATGAAAAGTTTTTTTTATGTGAAATAACTAACCTCCAGACGCTTCACTTATCACATTTGTCTATTTTTAAACACGCGCGCTGCTTTCACTTTGGCTTAGCGCAGCCAAAAGCCTTGAAACAACTAGTGATTTGAAAAGAAATGCCTAAGCATCAGGCGCGGGCGCGATGCATCGTCGTGACTCAGGCCTTCCTAAGAATAATGGGTGCGTACACAAATGATTCATGGCATTATGTTTGCCGAGGAGCTCTCGTAAATACCAAATTCCAGCCGACGCCTTATTGCACGCCTGTTGCGTGATTCATGCCTGGTGGTGGAGGTTCGTTCCCCCTACGCCCGTACAACCAATCAGTGTGTTCAGTCGTACTTGCTGTGATGGCTACTCACCTCCCATTTGTCGAATAGGCATTGACCTTGAACACACCAATCAAAGGAAAAAATAGATAAGTTAGAAGTGCTAAACCATGCAAGTTGGATTAAAAGGGAAAAAAAAACCTTTTCGAAAAGTCGGGGTGTGCCAAATGAAGACGATGTCAGTCAACAGGGATTATACATTTTTTATTTACATCGAATGGAAAGCATGGATTGGGGCGTTTTTTAGGGTTAGGATAAAGTTGGGGTCGCTACTCATTTACTTCTACGCCAAATTTATGTTGGTACGGGTTTTGGCAGAGTATGAAGACGTAGTTTTCAGTGCTAATAGGAAAGGCTCTCAAGGTCATGTCAATCACAAACATCGCCAACGCCTCATGCAAGGCTTGCGCATTTGCTGAGTCTAAATTACGCGAGAATTCGATACAATGGAGGAACCGACGATTCCACTCCGCAGTTGAATCGGATGATTCCGACACGAATTTAATCCCCATTGGCTACTAGAGGGTGAAATAAAGAAGTTCCAAAAAAGATATGAAAAGGCGGGAAATTTTCCACCTTCAGGGGTGTATAGAAGGGTATTGGAGGCTCTAAAATTGGGGAAATGGATGACAATGAGTCATCTCAGCGTTGCGCATAAAACCTCATTTCCGGCCCTCTGATTGGTCAGCAGAGCATTGCTTTGACTTTGGCAACCCCACCGAATGGAAACTAACCAATGAGAGAGCTGCAAGGGGGTGACTCAAGGCTAACGCCCAGCTGGAATGCACTTAAAGTAATGAAAAAAAAAAAATTTTCAGTGTAAAATCACCTTCTTGAGTTGCATTTTTGGAAATAGGTCATTTGAGCGAAAAAACCTACACACCCACAATTGCATGACTGATAGTCTGTGATTTATCAACAATGGTGTAACCAATTTTATTTTCAGCTTTAAACATTCAGGAGGCAGGTGAGGTAAACAAAACTAACTTATTCACGTAAACGGACCATAAAATCGGGCAAATCACCCAGTTTTTAACTTGTTGCTCAAGTGTTTGTGGCTAAAGAGAATGTATCTTAATGAGTGCTTTAGAACGATTTAAAACGTGAAGGCAAATTTTGTTTTAGAAGGGTTAATAATTTTATCTAAAGGTACCAGATCAATATTCATCAGATTTAATGGCGAAAAAAATATTCAGAATTATAAATCTAGTACATTATTCGCCAGCCCTTTCTTTCTCACCTCTACGACGCCTTTAAAGTAGGGGAGATTGGTTACAGAAGGTCATCTCCCATTTCCGAAGTATTATTTGCACGCCTTATCTAAGCTTTAGGGGGAATGGGAGGTCAATGTTGGTCACTTCTCTAGAGAAGGGTGGAGGTGGAATCCTCTCAGCCGCAGGATTTGTACAATCAGCCCATTTGTCACCTAAAGGTAGATTAGCCGAACAATAAATGGTCTTATCTAAACTTCAAAATTTATGACATTTACATATGACACTTGCTAAGATTTCTCCATCCACCTACATCAGATTCGAGTGAGTTTGGCTGCTTTGGGGTGATTTCCTTCAGCCTATGACTACAGCAATCATCACTTGCCGGCTTTTGACGTTGTATGACACATGTTTGACTACTTGTAGAACATGTCCGTTTAACTAGTACCCTTTGTCTAACGGCTGAATGGATATCACCGCCTTTCATCGTCGAGACAATTAGCAGGTGCCAAATAAGTCCTCCTCTGCCATGGTTTCTGGAATCGGAGGCAGATGAGAACAACGAGCGGAGAGAGTACAACCCGACCTGTTTATGACACTGGCAAATGAAACTTATCACAACTTCATGTACCACCCGCATTGGATTGGGCTGCTACGACTTCAATTAGTGACTCTGGTAATCAGATCATCTCAGCTCCGGAATAAATAGCCTGCCTCCCACAAAAGTCGGCGGTGGGGAGATATTACCGATGCCGCCATTGTAAATCGTCTAGAATAAACAAGTAAATTTTATTTTTAAACAAGATAATAGGAATATTAGCCTTAAAAGCGAGGCGATAAGCTTTGAAATAGCTCCACTGCACACATCCCCTTGCTTGACAAAGCCACTTTATCACATGGCGCATTTTGGGAGGTTACCTTCCAGTGTCATGCCTCTGTGACGAATTCCGACGTTCTCACCTAACACCGAGAACACGTATACGTGGCATGCGTCCTTTATCATGCCATCATGGTAACCGGATGCATCACGTGGAGGGTAACAAACGAATCGTTTGACCTTTGAACACTATCTGTGGGTGCCGGAAATCATCTGTTTCACCGGTAAACGAAACGGCCAGATCGGTGATGCAGGTGCTGGTGCTGGTGCTGGTGTCGTGTTGTGGACAGACCGTGGTGATTCCGTTGCCTCCGTGACAGGACCCGACAATAAGAGTGCCACTTAATAAAGGCGAGATCGAGTAGATTGTCAAGGCAGCTATCAAGAGCGGATGGAAGAACAAGGAGGTGCCAGTGGAATGAATGAAGAGTGATACGTTCAACAGAGTCAGTGG